CGGCTGGCGTGGCGTCGTGTGCCTGCTAGGCCTCATAGCTGCGCGCATACCTGCACAGAATGCTGCCAGCTGTGGAACAACAGCTGGCGACTGGCAGCAGCTGATCCTGTGAGGGTTCCGGGCCATGCTGACCCCTGCAGGGCTCTAGATATCATGCCAAGACTTCCCGAGCGTGCGGCTGTGGGTTGGAAATGAAGCACAGCCCGGTGTACGCAGACCGTGGAAAGAAGAAGCGCTGCGTCGCCGCCAGCCGGGGGGTCCGGCTTGAGAGAAATTTGAGGCATTTTGGGGCTGCAGACTGCCAGTGACGGCTATACGGCTATACCCGCGCCGATAGAGATGATTTACAAGGAGCCCAGAAAGATGGCTGCTACCTTGTGGCCTTGATCTTTGGGGACTGATGTCAAGCATAAGAGGCTCCACCTTTTCGCGTCGCAGTCACAGAGGTTGGTGGCGAGATGTGGCGAGCTGATTGATGAGTGCACAATCGCTTGCGAGCTTCAAGGGGGTGGCCGACATCTTCATGCATGAGTCGGAGATGCAGCATTTTGGTCGGCTTGGCTTTCAACTGTGCGTGCTGTGACGATGGCGGGGCTTTGGCAACAGGGAGAATACACGGACTTGGTCAAGGAAGAATGTGCCTGGCATGTAGGAAATCGCTGGGTTCTTCAGATCTAAGACTTTGCCCCGGAGATCCTGCCCTCGTTGCACGTGTGAAGTGAGGCCCGGCCGCCTGGCCGAAGAGAGTGCCCAGTGCCCATTTGGCTTGCGAGAAGAGTGTGGCAGACTGCCAGAGATAGCTACATTTCAAGCCCCGTGGAGGACGAATTACGCAGCGGGCATTCTGCGCAAGCAGGAGCCCGACTTTCATTGCCTGGTCTCGACGTGACCCGCATCGATGCTGCACCGGGTGGATGCTTTGAGCGGCAGAGATTCGTCGCCTTTAGGCATGCTGGGGGAAGGCTGTGCGTGGCTGCAGGCTACCTCGTCTACAAGTTTTCACATACGGTGCTAGGCTGCTAGCTAGACGGCAACGATCTGCGGAAGGTGGCATGACCCGCCGTCCTGCCGACTGCGACGACCGCTCCACGCGAGCCAGAGAAAACCTGACGGCTGTGGCTTTAGCTCGGTAGACTGCTTAATTATTGGACTCAGCTGCCACTACGCCAGGATGCTTCATCTAAGATGAGAGAGCGGTCCTGGACATTCAGACGCTTTGGGGTCAAGCTTGACATGCAGACTCAAGCTTCAGTGGAAGCTGCGTGTAATGATCCTGAGACGCACTCATGTGACCCTCAAGACAACACGCTATGATCGACCATGCCCAAACCCTAGTGGCTTACCCCCTAAACCCTAAATCCTAAACCCTCAACTCTAAACCCCAAGCTCTGAACCCTAAGCCCTCACTACCTTACGAGACCATGTAAGCATGCCCAGTCTTGCCATGGTTTCGATGCAATGCGCGATCCAGGTTCCGCGCAGCACGTCCTAGGATTTCCATTCCGGAGCAAAAATAAAAAAAGGGTGATCGTTTGTGGCCATGCACCAAATTCAGGATATCTTGCAAGCCGCCTTCCTGCGCTGGGCAAAATCCGATGAGTGTATCCATGGATATGGTTTGGTTTCTTGGCGGTGCTGGTGACGATACTGATCATGATGATACGTGCTGATGATGGTGGAGCAGCAGGCTTGCGATGCCAGTGCCGCAGCATGCCTTCTGGCGCTGGTGTTGTGCTTCTGGCCCCCCCCCCTCCCTGTGTTCCTAGTACCGCCGCGACTAAGTCTGCTGCTGCACTAGCAACTGCCAGGCGGCGTCTTGAGTCGCCAGCAAGATGCAGACGAGGACGGGGACGTGTGCAGTGATCATAGCAATCATACCTGGCGTGCGAAGAAGTCCCGGCGATTACAATCACAATCGTCACAGGCACGAATACTCAGATTTAGCAAGCACCGTGCGAGATTGAAAGCTCCGTTTGTCGCAAAGGTTTCAGCACCACTCCTATAGTGTCCTTGCAGTCATTTAAAAAACCAAGCCTTGGAGGATGCTTGGCGGAAATTCCGCGTCCAAGCCGTGGAGGATGAGCCCTCATCGTCCACGCCTGCACGACCTTGCAGAGCCCTCAGGTCCCGGATGGTAGTTCTGTGAGATCTTTGCAGCGGTTTCTTGCATTTCGGAAGCTTTTAGTACCTCTATTTTTTTACACTAATGTAATAGAATATAGTATCCTAAGAACCAACACTGGTTGATACCCTAGTACTGTGCCTCGTACATTCGACCTTTTGCTTCAGTATGGGTTCTGAATGGCATCCCTGTCGAGTACTATTCCAGCTCTATACCCGCGCCGAGCTCTGAGAGTTCAGCTGCTGGATCCCAAGCCCCAAGAAAGCCATGAGTCCGTAAGAGTGTATACTGCAGAGCGAATGAGCGAATGAGATACTGGTGACCACAGGATCTAACTTCCGTAGTCCTATGGCCGGGTAGTTTATGCTTGCCAATGCGGCTGAAGCGTAAGGAACCCTACGGCCGATAAGTTTATAGTATCCTTATAGATCACTGCTAGTAGCCCTTATGAACGCCTGTGGCTCAGGTGTGTTTCTGGATCGCGCCTCCTTGTGGGGCGTCGCGTCACGCTTCGGGCGCTCGGACTCCTGCTCCGACGCCTCCTTTTCTGAGCTGGGATTGGAGGAGGTGTAACATAGGGGCCTTAGTCATTAGAAAGGTTCTTGCGTGTATGTTGTACTATAAACACAATAATAATAGTAATAACAATAATAAATAAACATAATAATAGTAATAAAGAAGCCTATAGGGTGGGGTCCTGACTGTGAGAACCCCAAAAAAAAGGCTCCCCGAAGTCACCCTGAGGTCGTTGAGAGCTTCGTGGAGCCGTTCACGCCCACGGAGCCCATCCTAACGCACGAGGCCCATGAGGCCCCCTACGATCACCTGAGCCCCAGCGAGGAAGATCCTGTGAGCATCCAGGAGGTTGGGGAGCTTGATTCCAGCAATCTGCTGATAGAAGAGCAGGATGAGTCCAAAGAGGGCCCGGTATCGAGGTTAGACCCGCCTGCTACTTGTGATATCGGCTGCGTTGAGCAGCCATTCTACACCTCTCCCGCGCCTGAAACAGAGGGAGGCTTGGCATCCGCCGTGGACCTGTTGGTATACCATCCTCGGCAGTCAGTCTTTCAGACGCTGGAAACTGTCGACAGCGATCTGCACGGACACTGCCCGGTTCCGGAATCCGACATTCCATTGCCAGCATTTCGGAGTCGGAGCACCGCCTGGTCCTTTGGCGACTTCGAGCAACTGAGCAACGTAGGCGCTGCTTTCGTTCTTCAGAATAGGCTGAGAGACGAATTGTCAGCTCCGCCCTGCATGTTCGGCAGATCCCACGTCAACATCCTGGCTACCCCGGCTTTCTTACATCGGGGTGCTTGCAGGAGCCTTCATCACCTTTCACGAGCAGTACCGTTAATGAACTTTCGCCAGTTGGCTTTGCCGGCTCACGAGCCGGATCCCCCTTCGCCAAAGTTTATGGCCCTCATCGGTCGGTGCGGCGGTGCCAAAACGGCACAGCTGGGCTCTTCAACTGATCGGCTGGAGGCGACCGCAGGGCCCAGGCGGATCAGTGCTTCCAGTGCTCGCAGCTCGTCCTTCCAGGAGACGGCCAGCGTTGAATCCATGAGCCTGAGTCCCCCACGCCAGCCGCTCACAGCAGAAGAGCTGCAAGCCGCGCGCATGGGCTTCTTTTTCGAGAAGGCCCGGGGACGAAATGATTGCTCTTCCACATGGGTAGTTGTCAAAATTATGGTCCCTTTTGGGGTACCCTAAATGATAGATGCCGTATTAAACTAAGGACCCAAAAAGGGACCCTAATTTTGACAACTACCCACATGTTGCTGCTTGCTGCGCGGAGGAGCCCAGAGTCGTCGAAGACGACTTGGAGGTGCTTCCTGCAAGCTCCGTTAATCATGAGAGCATAGGGTTTCGGTGTATTCTTTTCGATAACGTAGTTGTACAGACAAGAGGGGATGATCTCAAAACAGTATCCCGACCCCTAAGCTCTGATGACAAGTTAACTGATCTTGGGCCTTCGGCATTGACGCGACCGTGAAAATTGAGAACGGTATAAGTGCTCAAGTATAGTTTAGTATAATTGGCTCTAACCAATCACGGCCTGGTACACCCTACAGGAAGCTGTTCTGATAAGGTTCGCAGAGCGATGCCTATCTCATGGTTCGGGTGGCAAGCCAGTGGTTCCTTTAGAAACGAAACCCTGGCTCTAGCGTCCTTTCCCACCGTGTGGCAGACAGCAGCCAGGAGGAAGGAGGAGGGGCAAGGAGGAGCAGGACCAGATAGACGTAGCAGTACAAGACAACGACATGACCAGCTGCAACAGCAACAGCAAACACACACACACACAAACACAATCATTGCCATTGTCATCATCATTGATGTTCCTCTTCACCGTCGGCATCGTCAGCACCAGCACCAGCGCCAGCACAAGCACCCCGACCATTACAATCAGCATCATCAGCAGTATTCGCATCAGCGTCAGCATCATCGTCATCGTCATCCTCCTCCTCGTCACCACCACCATCATCATCATCATCATCACCATCATCATCATATCATTATCATCATCATCATCATCATCATCATCATCACCATCATCATCATCATCATCAGCATCATCACCATCACCATCATCACCATCACCATCATCACCGTCACCATCACCTTCATCACCATCACCACCACCACCACCACCACCACCATCATCATCATCATCGTCATCATGATGATGATCATCATCATCATCATCAAGATAGTCAAGAACAAGACCAGCAGCGGTACAAGTATTATCATCACCGTCGTCATTGTCCTCCTGGCAGCTATCCCTGCACATCTTCATCATGACTGGCAGCTGCAGTGACAGCAGCTGCAACAACGACTACGACCACAATAACCCCACCGCCCTGAAAGCTTGCCAGGCCCCCCGGCCGGTGTACGAAGACCTCAGGTGGGCCTTCTCGTGGGTACACTTTCGTTACCTTTGGTTCCTAGTATACTGCTCTTTGATTGGATGCCTTGATAAAAAGTCATCGGTCTAGAATTCAAGATAGCTAGCTTGACGCCTGCTACCTGTGCAAAGCGCATCAGGAATGGGTTTCCTTGCGGGCCTTACTACCCCGAAACGGTAAAGCTTGATAGAACCCTTCTACAGTACCCCCCATGCAGTAGTATATCCTAGCTTCTACGATGCCCTCAAAGACTACCCAGGATGTATAGAGCCCAGCGCAGGCCCCCGGACACCTCCGAGTCACCACCGCCCCGGCGCTGCTTCGAATCCCGACGGCATGGGGAACTGTCGGCTCTTTTAAGCGATCCTTTCCGCAGGGTTCTTTCATGGTTGTGCTGTGAAGGAGTCTGATGCATCGAAAACGAGTATACATGCAGCCGGGCCGTTTGAATTCTGTAGGGTTTCGTAGGGCAGAAAAGTCCATAGGCAGTGTAATTATAGTATGCTACATATAGAGTATGCTGACGGTTGCAGGGGGGTCTCTGGCTCGCTGTAGCCTAAAGCCGAGGCCCCAAACTCCTGATGACTTCGGGATACTTCGGGAGTCTGAGTGGGTTTTGGCCACCTTCATAAACCTTGAGCCCACCTCTGCCAGACAGCCATTGACATGAAGGGTTTAGGACGTTTAGCAGTGCCTCTTTGAGCTTGCACGGTTTTGGGAGTTTAGGGTTCCTACAGAGGGCTCCTTACAGGAAGGGATCTACCAGAGATTTATATTGGGCTCATCTTCGTCTCTAAAACCAGAGCTGGGCGGGATGTTAGGGCTTATCTGTGCAAGCTCAGCTGGTGCAATGCTAGGAGCTGTCCGTATTGTGACCCTCATGTTACTTCTTAGCATACCCCTTCTAATTGAGAAGGGGCTTTTGAACCTTTGCCGTTGCTCAGGTCTACCTCCAATCTTAAGTCAACCTGCCATGTACATGCAATGCAGCGCAAATAGTAGAGTATGATAGAATATGCTTTGGTGAGGTTCCTCCTCCGTGGGCTCTCAGCAGTTATCCACATGTCTACACGAGGTCTTAGAGCAATCCGTGCTTGTTTCCAGGGTGTATGATGTTACCCAACCCTAAGCCCTAAACCCTAAACCGGTCCTTTCGCAGCTTCCTTGGGCAGCCGCGTTTGCTTTGCTGCCTGGAGAGGCAAAGGATGCCGGACGGGGCCAGGCCGAGGAGGAGAAAGACCTGGAGCTTTGCACTCGACAGGAGTTTTTCCGCGTGCTGAGCTCCTTGTCCTCGCCGATTCGTCGCCTGGGAAGAGACTGGTCCGTGGGGGGGCTCCATCGGTTTGGAGCCGAGCGGACTGGACTGGACCTCCGCACCTGACACTCAGAAAACGCGGAAACCAGGTCGCCGTCAGGCATTCTCGGGGGAAGGCCTGGCTGGGCTTCTGAGAAGTGAAAGGCGCCCCACGAACGACAAGGAACTGTACGAATCTTGCATTCTGCAAACAGGAGTGACCCCTGAATAAGATCTGGGTCATTTTGACTTGTTGTCTTCGTCTGCGCCGCCTGAAACCCTCAACCCTTATAATATAGAGGCTTAAATAATTACAAATTGTATTTTGGGGGCTCCTGATTATAGTTATCGTATCATATACCCCAAAACCCTAGTCTGATGATTCAGGCCCCGAAACCCTAAGCCCAAAACCCAAACTCCCATCGTTTGGTAACCGGAGGCCTGCTGCAAACCCTGGACCTGGAGGCCCGCGCGCCGGAGCAGGAGCCCCACCGGCACAAGGACACCCGGCAGGGGGTGGGGGGTGGGGGGGGCTTCTTACGGTTTAGCTTCGGGTTTGGGGTTTAGGGTTGAGGGTCTTATTACTGCTAGAGTCCTGTCTCGGAGGGCCCGTTTTTTCAGGATTTTGGTGTTTAGGATCTGTGTTGTGCGCTTAGAATATGTGGGAGAGTTACATCCCCGCGGCTGTGCTTTCCTGTTGGATCTTCCTTGGCTGTGACGGCTCCTGCTTATTGGTTATGTGTGGGGTTTATTTGGATTTCGTTTGGACTGGGTCAATGGACCTTTACAGGCTGTAGGTATACCGTATACCTTGTGTAACATGCTGGGTGCTGACTTAAAATGCAAGTCGCAGGCTTCGTATCGGGACAGCGAGTGAGCGCCGGCACCGAAAATAGCAGCTTAATTATTTGCCCATATTGTTCATAATATCACCAAGGAGCCCAACACCCTTTGGACACTATTAAAGCCCCTATTATAGTAGCTGCTTTTCCTATACTAATTAAACCCTAAACCCCAATATACTCAAGCTTGTCAGGACTGGTGCACGAGAAGAGGTTTCTGGCAGCGAACACGGCGAGCGGGAAAGCGGCCCTTAATATAGGGGCCTTAATAATGAGAAGAGGGCTTGCGGGCCCTTTATATTATAATTATAACAAGGAGCCCCCAAAATAGCATAGTTAATTGTTTAGGCTCCTATATTAGGCTTTGCAGAGGACCTTTGCCGGCTGTCAGCGAGATTTGCCCAGGGCGTCCCAAAGAAGTGATATCTGTCGCTATAGCCATATAGTAGTATAGCAACACAGTGATTAAGTACAGTAATATAGTAGTTGTAGTAGTATAGTAATATAGTAATATAGTAATATAGTAATATAGTAATATAGTAATATAGTAATATAGCAATCATTGCAATATGGAAGGGAAGCCGAGGACAGGCGTCACGCACATCATGCCACAAAGTTATGGCCATCTGGCGCCTTTTGTGGATGTTTCGTGCTTCTTCAGCTTCTCTGGGACTTTCTGGGGAGGGCTCCACCTTGAAGTTGGTTACCAGGTCGAAACCGACTGAAGTATTTTCGTGCTTCGGCCTCCTTCCTTGGGCGCCTGTGAAAGCCGTGAGTCCTCAGATTGTAGGTACAGTATCATGTGCTATAGTGCTTTTGCTCTTAGCAAAAGCTACTCTAGTTATCAGGATACTATTCCTTTGGGCCCCTTGTTGTAATGTGGTATAGCATGAACCCACGGAAGGGGAACCGATTTCGGAAAGCTCTTCATGTACATTATGTGAGAACGCTTGGATGTGGGGGTTAAGGGTTTGGCGGTTCGTTTTCCTGTTGGGAGGAGTCGCAGGCCAAATGTCGTGTAAAAGGATGCGGTCAGAGGTTTACCGTTTCTCCGTCTGGTCATTGGGTTAGCGGCTAGACCTGATACCCTAGACCTTGGACCCCAGACCCTGAACCCCACTCCTGGAGTTCGGCCTCCAGTCCGTTCGAGACATTGCTGTGCTCCCTTGCCACGCGCCCCGTGCGGGAGAAAGAGTCGGTTTGTGTCGCAGCCTCTCGATTGCCGGAGTCCGAATCTGGGGCGATTGGGATTATTCTGGTCAATGTTCTTTATCATGATTATTAGCATTGTTTTACCATTGGTTACCGGCATTATTATCAGTATGTTGTTTTCATTCGCACCTCAGACTCATGGCTCAAGAAGTCAAGAAGACTAAGGAAACTCGAGGACAGCATGCAAAGATGACTGATCAGGCGTCCATTTATTTCACACTTGCAAAAGCTGTTGGCCGACAGCTCATCGCAGCTATGGCGGCTGAGACATCTGGCCCCGATAGCCAGCCGAAACCTGTTGCCGGGGACGGGGTCTTTGAGCTCATGGCAGTTTCATAAGATCCAAGGGCTGATGCTGCGTCCTCCGAATCCGGAAGAGCCGCCCAGCCCAGACACGCACAACATGCCCGCAGTTCTGAACGATTCGTCTGTTTATTTAACGTTGTGGGGCAGTATCTGGCTGCTTCAGGCCGTACTTTGGAGTAACTTGGGGTTTGCTTACAAGAGATTCATTGGCACAGCTTTGAAGCACTCATGTCCGTGGTGCTGTGAGGCTTCACGGCGAGGGTAAGAGTCCTGAGTTGCTTTGAAAGGTGGAGTTGGAATATAACTTAGAGCACAGTATAGTCTATAGTACATTCTGGTACATATAGTAGACCATCGTACATCATTTGAGGAGTCTACTGGCAGTATAGCTTGTTAAGTACCGCCCGCGCCACCGCCACTTCGCATCCCGATGCCCCCAGCGCTCGGCAGGATGTCATGCACGTCATCGGTAACGGTCCTGCAGTTTTACTGGAGGCTGGAAGCGAATCATTAGTGTGTGTACTGTATGTATGTATGTATGTATGTATGTATGTATGTATGTATGTATGTATGTACGCATGCATATACGTACACACACGGCGACATGTACGTATGTATGTGTGTGTATATATATATATATGCAGTTTTATTTCTCCTTCAGGTCGTCATGAGTGGCTCCGACATCGTGGCTTACAAGGCCTGCGGCTCAACATCAGCGATGACGCAGATAGGATTGCAGCTGGAGGGTTCTATCATTCTTGAGTCTTCACTCGTCTACTACCAGTATTCAATATACGTGTTAGTATGTCGGTCTTAGGCGTATTCGGCATCTGCTTTTTGTGGGACACACAAGTGTCCTCAAAGCTCATGGCCTTTTCCCGACAGGTAAGATATCCGGATGGTACTCAGGCGCGATGTTAGCATTGCGCTGCCCAGCTGGCTTTCGTCTTCGGCTGACCTTTTAACCATAAGATTCCTGACTTTTGTGACCGATGCATCTGATCTTCAATATAAACAAAAAAACGTCGTGTGCCTTAACTTCCGTTAGGCTGAACAGCCCTTTCAAAACAGGACAGCGTCATTCCGGAGAAGGCACTGCTTTGTGAAAGACGGAAGGAGGATCCAGTGGCGGCTGGCTCAGGGTTTCAGGTTCAGGGTCTAGGCCCATAACCCCATTTTGGTTATTAAGGCCCCTACGCTGAACCCAGGGTCGATCCTCCAGCAGAACTTCGCATGGACACGCCCGCCTGTCTTGCCGGGTGGTGGGGGCCCATGGCTCGCAGGGTGTTGTCACCTTCAATATTTTAGTGTTCTTTTGAGGGCCGACATGGGGGCGGCTATAAGGCGTACTTATCGGTACTGAGAGGGTCGACATGTTCATATGCTAAATCGCGGACAGCCATAACAGCAACTCCCTGTCGTTACTTGCTAGTACCGGAAATCCTTCGGCCATTTGTAAGACTACACCAGTAGTGGGATAGAACGACAGACCCGAAACAGAGCCCTGACAGTATTTCGTTCATACTTAAAGCACACAGCTACAACAAACCACTTGCCAGATTCGATGTTCTGTCAACTGAAGGTCAGATATGATGCCGGCAATCCACACAGTAAGCTTATTGGCAGACGTCCTAGACAACATTCCCGGCAGTCTGTCGTACTGCCCGGTGCTACATCATTGTATTTTGTGTATGCTACGCTGCGGTATTCTGTGTTGACTGTGGTGCTTTGCCAGTGCCTTCGATTGTTGATGTGCAACCTTCCTTCATGGCTACGTACCGATCCCTATAATGCAATTTGTCCGTCAACCGATGCAATAAACCCTGAACGTCCCTTAAGTATTGCAAGCCTCAACCACGACCCGTTGTCCTATGTCATGGCCCTACGCCAAATCCTCCAGATCCGAGTTGCGCACTATCTCCAAGCCCTCAACTTGTCATACCCTCAACTCGAACATCCCGAACCTTTAAAACTAAACTACTCAAAACCTGTTTGATGGAGACCCCAGTAACCTTAATAGTACATCTTACAATAACCTAAACCCTAAGACCTAAACCCT